ACATATAGGATCTGTGTGTATGTGAGATGTGTTCCTTGGAACTTTTGATAAAACCCATATTACTACCACTAATTCATTTATAACTAAAGAGAGAAGAACACTGGTACATTTGAGACTTTCCTTTTGATAATTATTTCTATTATCATTTGAATGGGAGAAATTCTTAGGAATCATCTTTTGGGTATAAATTTTGGTACAATCTTATTCTGCAATGAGACTAAACTGTTTCTTTGTAATAACATGTGATAATTTAAGCATATATTTTAATAGTTATTTAATGGCATAAAAAATACTATTAAGTCTATCTGAATTTGATTTTCATTGTTTCCCCCAATATTCTTCTTTTTTCTTAGAAGCATGAAAGACCCCTGTGCAAATACAGAGCCTTTATTGTTGCTTTGCTATTCTTTGGTACATTGCTATTTGTTCCTTAAATTAGCAACACCCTTTGCTTGAAGTATTATACTTAGTGACAACTAAAAACAAAACAAAACAAAACACTAGGCTAGGCCTTTACTGGAAACTTATCCAGAAGGTGATTGTGAACCAGTCAGAAAGTTGGTAAACAACCAAAAGAGCCATCTCAAAGACTGTGTACCCAGAGCTTGTCCAGATCTTCAGACCTAAGCAGGCTTGGTTATCTCATGTCCCAGCTCATAACATGAACTCAGCACATTAGAAGGAAGTAGGGACTCTCTTAGAGGCAGACATATTGATAGTGTGGAAGGAGACAGAATAAACTGCTTAGCCAGATATAAAACATTTTTAAATTAAAAACAAAACACCAGCAATCTGAGGCAAACAATTCTATAAACCTCAGGGCTGAGAGAATCACTTTATAATAATTGATATTAACTCATATTTGTTATAGCCCTTTACATTTTATGAATTATTTTATATACATCAGAGCTCATTGAATATATGTAATGATACATGAATATAACTTTTACTTTTCATCATGAAAAAGTGAATTATACTGAGCATGCTGTTTAAGAAGGCAGGGAGGTATACTAACATATTTGAAAGACATCAAAAAGAATTACAAGTTTTAAATTTTGGCACTTAAGAGATATGCATTAGTTATCCAACAATTCATATATATGCTTTATGACCAACACAGTTTATTACTTAATGAAATTTCATAGCTCTCTGTCACTGCTGGTTGCTAAATGGGGATGATTGTCATTAGTAAGTTATCAGAATATTTCTCTTGCTAAACACTAGCTTAGCAGGTATTTATGGATGCCAATACCATATATTCTGACTAATTGGGAAACATTAGGCTTCTAAAAGATTCTCAGAATATTTTTCCTACACTGCACTTTCTAGCAAACAAAACTTTAATACTAATAGTATAATGGGATCTTGGTTCTAGACAGAAATGGGAAACGTGCGATCTACCTTTTCCTTGTTTTTTTTTCCTAAAATTTTTGGTATAGCTTTTTCTCAGGATGTAACAAGCAGAAATGACAAAATATACATGTTCTTTGGGATTCTGAGAAAAATGATCACATACATTTTCAAAAGATTAAAATAGAGATCGTATCTGCTTTAGCCACTTCATTTTCACAACTGAAAATAAGGAACTACTGGGCATTTGATGTTCCTAAACTCATTCAACATAGCATTGCCATAAAGATACTGTTCTGCAGAAAGCTTTTTAAAACCAAAGTATAGTTTATACTACACTTCCCAATAATTATACTATGTAATTATACCAATTATCATGAATAAAAATGACTAAATAAAATTTAGAGTAAAAACACATTAGATTTTACACTGTAAGTGAAACTGGACCTTTTAATTATAAGATGTAATTTCCTCTAATAGTATACCATTCCTGATGACTTTTAATTCCTTAATATCCCTGGTGACTTTTTGATCATGACCATACCTCACAGAGAATGTTCTCTTAGCTGGCTGTTAATTTTAATCTGTGTGGCTCTATTTATTTATTTTTTAACAAGGCTATTTATCCTCTATTTTTCTGGTTACATGTTTTGCTTGAGGTTTTTTAGTTAGGAATGGACTGTATGTATGCTCTGCATTTTATAGTATTAATTATTAGAATTTATAGTATTAATTCTAATGGAAACTGTTAATCTTGTAAATGTTCTTTTACATAGTGCAGAAGGTAAGCCAGCTCGGTAATAATGAACTTCAGAGGATGCAAAACAAGTAAAATTAACTGGCCAGTTTACCATCCTTTACAAACCAAAGGGCACAGTGGTAGGGTAATAAGCACAGGCTTTGGACTAAAACAGACCAGGGTTTGAATCCCAGTAATGCCACCTAGCTCTGTGAATTAAGGCAAATCACTTACATTTTTTGACCCTCCATTTCCTCCAAGTAAATTTGTACTTATCCACCTACCTTGTAAGGTTTCTGTGAGGATTAGTAGTAAAGGATGTCCATTATTTGACATGTGACAGGTGCTCTATAGTGGCTAAACAATCATGACTGAAGGTTAGAGCTGGACAAGATGTGTGCCCATTATCTGACATGGAACTCTCTCCAAAGGGGATGCCATTTATGGAACCTTCTTTTGATTATCAATACAATCATACTTAGTAGCTTATTTTTAATGTTAACATTTAAGTGTTTTTGCCTCAAAAACTTCCTTTTAAATGTTTTTTTAAGTTTATGTTAAACCTGTGTTTCCACTGTACTTTGTCATAATTTTTTTGATGACTAAAAAATTTCCAAATTTTAAACATCCATGGTAAATTGATCTAATTTTAAGAAATTTGTCCTCGGGCCAACATTGTTCCAAGTGAGGTATAACCTTTATACATGTGAGAATGGCTGTCTGGTTGGTCCTAGTTTCTCCCTCCCACCCCCCCAAAAAAAGAAAGAAAGTCATTTTTATTCATGTATTTGGGTTGCTTAAACATTTCTATAAGTTGTAAAATACTTTTCTTCATATGGCTGGAATTCTCAGCATCTACTCCCATGCCTTCCTTTTTTCAATGTCTTAGCCAGTTGAAGGGTATTCACAATAATACGAATTAAAGACAAAATATAGTGTTCATGGTCACTGTTTTAACAGACAGCATCATACAGTAGAAAATGCCCTGAGCAAGGAATTAGGAGACTTGAATTTGAGTCCTGGCCCTGCCACTAATTTTTTAGGATAACCTTAGGCAAGTCACTTCTCTCATTCCTTAAAAAATGAAATGGATTCCATTTTATGTTATTTTCTACCTCTAAAATTGCTTTCATTTACTCATTATTAAAAAATAATCAAAACACCTCCTGGGAGTTGTGTTAAGCACCTGATGGGTACAAAAGTATGTACTGATGTTGAAGGTAGTGTTTTATAAACAGGGCCATCTGAATAAAGGTTACTTAGTGTTCCTGTTAAAATACAGATTCCCGTCTTCTCCCTGGCAGAATCAGAATCTCCTAAGGTAAGGGCATTTTCTGTATTTTTCACAAGCTCCTCAATGATTATAGTGTACCCCAGTGTTTGAGAGCAACTGGCCTAAGAGAATGTGATCAAGAGGGAAGAAGCCAGCATGTGACTTAGATCACTCCAGCCTCTAGCAAACCCCTACCAAACCGTGCCAAGTGGAGGAGATAGAGGAAAGCCCTTTCTTCACCAGAGCAGTCAGCCTTGGGCCCAAGCCCTCCTATTGCTTTTTACTTGCTGTGCTCATGACAAAACACAACGAAAGGTCTTCATATTAGCTCCGTCTTGCCATCCAAGCCACTGACAACCACATTTATGCCAACACCTTGAAGAAGACTGCCATTCTCTTCTCACTAATGCTAAGAGTTGACCTTGTGCATTTGGCTCATGAAAGAAATATGAGTACCACCCCAATACCATAACATGTCATCCTGTGTGATTCAAATAATCTGGCAGAGAAAACAGAATATCCGAGCCACATTGTTCTCATCACTCTGTGGTCAGGTAGTGCACTAATCCAATAAATTAATACTCTTCTAAACAACAGAAACAACCAAAGCCCATCCCTTCTCCCCTCTTCCTCCCTAATGCTGTTGACAGGAACAAAATACCAAGTAAGGACACATGCTAGAGATTTTAAAATTCATACAAGTAAAGTAAATTACAGAGAGGTGACAATATTTTTTCTAGAATGTCACAACAAAACCCTCTCATGGTGAAAAATATGTATAATTTTAACAGGAAGCTTAAAAGACATTATCTGTGCTCATTATTGAGAAACATAACAGCAACTTTAAAAGGCCAAGTATACTGGTAAGGGAAGATGAAATTTCTTTTTCAACTATCAGTATGACAACATCAAATGCTTGGGTTTTATTCTAGTGTCACAGGTTTCTTCTAACCCAACCAAAACTCCTGCCAAATGTCCACAAAATTCACACCAAAATCAAAAAAGAAAAAAGAAATTCAACAAGAGGTAACATGCAAAATAACCAGAATACCTGGGGTTCAGTGGCACAGATCAGCAGGAGCTGAGGAATGCTGCAAAAGATGCTGCTGCACAGAGTCTAACTTGGCAATGCCCCTATGATGCTGGACGACCAAGTCCTCAGGTCACAGGTGTGTTCCTGGACCCATAAGAATCAGGTCTTGACCCAAACTTTTAACATCTTCTAAACAGAAAATACTTCACCTAAATTGAAGCAATTTATATGTCAAACACCAGAAGAGTTGCTTATTTTGTTTTAAGTTGTGCCTAAAACTTTGGCTGATACAAAGAAACCCGTCCGCTAAGGCACCCTGAGGCAATCTGACAATGTGTTGGGGAGAACTTTGTCGTCAGCACAACATCATTATGAGAGTACAGGGAACGGATCACCCGCAGGGGACTGGCTTCTTTGGGCAAACAGTCAATAAGTTCACTGCACTGTTTGTCAAATCCCAACAATCGAATGCCATAGCCATGTGGGGAAGAAACCATCCGCCCGTCAGGGCTGAAGCAAAGTTCTTTGATATAACCCCTGCCTACATTGGCTTCTTCAATGTGATGGGTCAGGCGGAGAGAACAGCGAGGGGAGACCGGTCGCACCGGAGCTCCTTCTTGGAATTCATAGACACAAGTCCACTAGGAAGAGAAAAGAGGGACAAACCAAATTACAGAACCTCATAGAGTGCTACAGATATTCTTTAAAAAAACCAAACAACCCCCCCACCCCAAGAAAACAAACAGAATGCTAAAGCCACAGAATTGTAAGAAATCATTTAGATGAATGCTACCCTTCTAGCAATTAATGAACTTGTAGCTCTGTACCCTCTTATTTTCCTTCAAAAGCGAGGGTTATTCTGCACTATGATGCTTTAGTCTTTTATTCAGAGGCCAGTGTGACTTCTGTAGTAGTAATCCCTTTACTGAAAATAACCATTTTGATATTTAAAAATTCAAGGATTAAGACACTCAAGCCCTAGAATACCTCCCCTTCACATTTCAGTGGCTCTCTTCTCTCCTTTTCTCAGTTGCAGATTCTAGAGCTAGAGAGATTCTTAAAGGACTCCTGCTTTTCTTTTCTTTTTTTTAAATATATTTTATAGAGAAGGAGGAGTTAGAAACATCAATGAAACATCAATATGTGCCTACTGCACACCCCCTTACTGGGGATATGCCCACAACCAAGGTACATGCCCTTTTCTGGAATGGAACCTGGGACCCTTCAGTCCGCAGGCCGATGCTCTATCCACTGAGCTAAACCAGTTAGGGCAGTGGTTGGCAAACTCATTAGTCAACAGAGCCAAATATCAACAGTACAACGATGGAAATTTCTTTTGAGAGCCACATTTTTTAAACTTAAACTTCTTCTAATGCCACTTCTTCAAAATAAGACTCGCCCAGGCCGTGGTATTTTGTGGAAGAGCCACACTCAAGGGGCCAAAGAGCCGCTTGTGGCTTGCGAGCCGGTGTATCAACCACTGGGTTAGGGCAAGGATTCCCGCTTTTCAGAGTGCTGATAATCATGAGGTCATGTAAGACCTTTTCCCCTAGTCTCAGTTTAGTTCCTTTTCCAAAGTTTCCCCTGGTTTTTAAAAAGAGAAAATTATTATACTCAACTGGCTTAGCAAAACCTCACATTTAGCCAACCTAGCTGAAACATTTCAGTCTTATGTTTACTATATAAAGAGCTTTTTACGAGAGATGAAGGAGGAAAGAATTTAAAAGGGCACAATCTGAGCTAATCCCTGCTTTAAAGTACTCCCAGCTTGCCACCCCCGTCCAGAGGGTTCAAGCACTCAGGCATTTTGTTGAGTTGGCCCTGCTGAAGGTGGAGTCCTGTGCCCGTACCTCCTGATCGTCAGTGTTGCTTGAGCACCGAAGAAGAGTGGCCCAGCCTTTCGGGTGCAACTGTAAAGATGTGATGCAGTTCCCACGGTCTCTCTCACCAGGAACTTTAGGGGTTAAGACTTCAAGGCTATTTCGTGGTGAAACTCCTGAGATACAAGAAAATTAGAACGTGGGAGTTGTATTATCAAAGAACTAAGGTAGCTTTTCAAAACTTGATTTTTGAGGGTGGTGAATACACGATACAATACACGGATGATGTATTATAGAATTGTACACCTAAAGCCTATATAATTTTATTAACCAATTCAATAAAAAAGTAAATATTTTAAAAAATAAGTATTTCTTAAAAAGATTTTATTTCTAGCAGCACAATCTATAATAGCTAGGATTTGGAAACAGCCTAGGTGCCCGTCAGCAGATGAATGGATCAAAAAAATATGGTACATCTACACGATGGAATACTATGCTGCCGTTAAAAAGGAATTCTCATCATTTGCAGCAACCTGGATGGAATTGGAGAACATTATGCTGAGTGAAGTAAGCCAGTCAATGAAAGAGAAACACCACATGATCTCACTCATTTATGGATAACAAGGAACATTATAAACTGATGAACCAAAAGATAGGTATAGAGACAGTAAAGCAACAAGCAGACTGTCAAATTACAGCGGGGAGGGGAGGGAGATCTGGGGGAGATAAGAGATCAACCAAAGGACTTGTATACATGCATATACGGACAACCAATGGACACAAAACTCTGGGGAGGGTGGATATGTATGGGAGGAGGGGCAATGGTAAAATATGTACACAGATAATAATTTAATTAAAAAAAAGATTTGGTTTCTATAAAAAAGCTTTGATTTCTGTCAGTCAGCAACAATGCCTTCATTCCTTTGTCTGCATTATGCTACCACATGTAAAAAACAAAACAAAACCCACAGTGCCCTCACTGTACGGAGCTGTGTCTTTGGGATGAGGATAGGGGGAAAGGGTCTGATTAGAACTAACGAATCCAAGTTCCTATAACAAGAATCACCAGTGAATGACCTAAGGCTAATGATTAGTCATAAAACTGACTAGAGGTCCTTTTGATTTGGATTATATCTTCTTTTTTAATTTTTTTTTAAATATATTTTACTGATTTTTTACAGAGAGGAAGGGAGAGAGATAGAGAGCTAGAAACGTCGATGAGAGAGAAACATCGACCAGCTGCCTCCTGCACACCCCCTACCGGGGATGTGCCCGCAATCAGTGTACATGCCCTTGACCAGAATCGAACTTGAGACCTTTCAGTCCACAGACCGACGCTCTATCACTGAGCCAAACCGGCTTCGGTGTGATTTGGATTATATCTTAAAAAGCTCTTCATTTAAGTAAAATCAAAGTTATGTGACATGAAAGGAATCTGGAAAAGTAAAAGATAATAATTCTCATCTAAGAAGATGTGGTTCAGAGAAGGAAATACTTGGAAGCCATGAAGACTGCCATTATATAAATAAAGGGCTAGTGGACAAGGAGAGGGACTTATGCCCACCAGGGCAGTACTGTAAACAACAATATATGTATAATTTTGGAGGTGAGAGAGGACACTCACACAGAGGCATGTCAAAACAAGGGGTGGGAGACACTGCCAATCATATATACTCCTGTTACTCTGGTATGGCCCCTCATTTCCTTCTATAATATGTAGCTCTAATACAGTGACTGCTGCAGTGAGCCATCGTTACTACTGGGAACAGGTCAGATCCCTCCGGTATGTGGAAAACCACTTGTACAGACATTATGAAAAAGCAGCTTAAAAATGTAATATCAAAGAGAAATATTTCATCACTTCTCTTCCTGTGGAAGGAGTTCCTTTGAAGATAATGAGCTCCTGTCAAACCCTTTGCAAACTGTTTCTCAAAAAAGATGTACCTTCTTTTATTTAAAAAAATATATATTTTATTGATTTTTTTACAGAGAGGAAGGAAGAGGGATAGAGTTAGAAACATCGATGAGAGAGAAGCATCAATCAGCTGCCTCCTGCAACACCCCCTACTGGGGACGTGCCCGCACCAAGGTACATGCTCTTGACCGGAATGGAACCTGGAACCTTTCAGTCCCCAGGCCAACACTCTTATCAAACTGGTTTCGGCCCCAAATGTAACTTTTCATAGCATAGAGCTGCTATAAAGTTTTGTTTTGGTATTTACCAAAGTAACAAGCAAGCTTGTGAACTATTCTTCTTAAATTAAGTTGCGCTTTTCTCATGGATGGTTTAGTTAATCAATAAATATTTTTTTCAATGGTTATTAAGAGCCTTCGATTGGCCTGGCTGGCATGGTTGAGCATCAACCTATGAACCAGGTCAGTGTGTGATTCCTGGTCAGGGCCATGCCAGGCCAGGTTCAATCCCTAGAGGGGGGTTTGCAGGAGCAGCCAATCAGTGACTCATCATTGTTGTTTCTCTCTCCCTCGCCCTTCCTCTCTGAAATCAATTAAAAAAAAAAAAAAAAAAAAAAAAAAAGCCTTGGCTTGTTTCCCATAGCCAAGGAAGAAGGAGAACAGGCAGCACCTCCAAATAAAAGAAGAAATGTTACACATCTGGGCATAAATCTCTAAATTTAAGGGGAAGAGTTTTTAACCTTATAGTGAAACATCACAGTCTTCAACATCCAGAAGAAAGTGGATAAAGCTATAGGTTAGGTTAGGAAGGGTGCTCAAACCATTCTACTCACATAAGTAATCATGCAAAACAATTAAGTATGAATTTATCAAGCACTTATAAGGTGAGGCCTCCTAGGGGAAACACAAATTACAAATCTAATGTATAATCCTTTCCAAAAATAGCTAGATAGGAAACATGCTGATCAGCAAAAGTTAACCCTAAATTACAAAAAATCTGTATCTGACTACCAATCTATAAAGAGGACAAACAAAAAGTTCTATAAGAGTTTAGATGTGAATTAGTTTGGAGAGGGACGGTACGTGAAATTTGCATTGGTAGAAAGCATTTCAATTAGAAAGTGGAAGGGATCAGCTAAGCAGCTAGTTCTGCCAGACTGGCTGGGGGAAAACGAGCAAAAGCATAATGGGGCCAGATTGGAGCTCGCTTTATCCCACCAGCCCTCTGAGTCTGTCATGCATTGTCAGATAAGGAAATGGCAGAGTAAAAAAGTCTACTGGGCTGAAAACAGATGCCATTACAAGCACCTGGTAAACATATTCTCTTATATTTATACAGCACTGTTACATGCATAATCTTATTTAATTTCCATAGTAACCTTGATTGGGATATTTCCCAACCATTTCCTCTCCAAACTACACAAAGCCAGGTCTAGGAAATAAAATCAAAGCTTAAACTCCAACTACAATTTAAGCCCAAGATTCTCAAACCCAGAGACTCTATTTAGCTTTTTTAAAAGGATAACCAAGGGGCAAGGAACAGCCTCATCTTTATTGGCTAATTGTATGGATTAAAGTAACCAAAGAAAGCTGTTTGGCAGAATCACTGTTTGCAGGATTATAAAATCCAACTTTTAACCTACCTTCTCTTTGCGAGGCTCGTGACATGTGTTTCTCAGAAGATGAATTAGAATCACTATGATGACAAGGTGAACCAGAAACTCTAGGACCAGATGAACTTGATGAAGTAGTCAGATCTTAAAAATACAAAAAGTTCTGACAATACACCTAGCAAAACTCTGGTGATATCTTTTAACTTTTTAATTATCTACTTGAACCATGCTATTAAAATTGATCTGAAATATGGCAAGTACATGTCCACTTAAAACTGGCTTATTATAATTAAGATTAAGATATGATAGCTCTCTAAAGTGTTCTATCTAAGGCCTCTTCCCTTTCTAAAATCTTCTATACCAATGACTAGCTTAAGTGAAATATAAGTGAAAAACAAAATAAACACAGGAGCATCATTGGTTCTGCATCATTTATGTAATGAAATGGAATAAAAAATATTAGTAAGAGTGAAAACTGAGCTGTTTATCCCATTGTTTAATGTTAGAATAGGTTCCAAACAACAGGCTCATTACCAAGAACATGAACAGATCTTTCTCAAAGCATGCCAAAAACTTCTATTATCATTCTTGAAATTATGTGAATACTATATTTGAAATACAATACGAATTTTACATTGAAATAAAATGTGTATCAGATAGCTGAGTTTGATGTAGTACTCTAAAGAGCAATCTACATCATCACACTTTTCTAGTGGCCCACACTTCTGTGGGAGCTTCTTTAGTTCTCTTTGATGTTATTAAGTATCAGAATTATCCTTAGAACTCAGAAAACCTAGTTTTTTTAATTACAAAATGCCAACTAGGCCTTTAAATCACTGCCTCTCAGAAAGCTAAAGTTGATTATTTTTTTTAAAAAAATATATTTTATTGATTTTGTACAGAGAGGAAGGGAGAGAGAGAGAGAGAGAGTCAGAAACATCGATGAGAGAGTCATCGATCAGCTGCCTCTTGCACACCCCCCACTGGGGATGTGCCCTCAACCAAGGTACATGCCCTTGACCGGAATCGAACCTGGGACCTTTCAGTCCCCAAGCTGACGCTCTATCCATTGAGCCAAACCGGTCCCGGCCCAAAGTTGATTATTAATGTTTAATCAGAAAAAAGAAATCTGAATCCAAAAGGGTTAGATCCCTTGCTTGCAAATAAATTGGTAAAACCTAACTTTCTACTTTTAGCAATTGGGCAGTTGCAGTACAACGAGGACTACACATTCCCAAAGAAATGGCCCTGTGCACACAGGAGAAAGAATCTAACCATTTGAAGGTAATTTTTTAATGGCATTTTATGAACATTATGTGTTCCAAGTGGGTATGTTCCCAGATCAGCCCTCTTTTTTCCAAAGGTAGATGAAAGGTAGTTTCTATCACATAATGTGGATAAATGATAGTGCACAGATTTTTCTGAGCCCCAGATACACTTAAGTCCAATAAAGTCAGCAATAGAAGGAACAGGACTTCAGCAAGAGAATGTTTAGACGTCATTAGGTAAGATGCCCTGGCTACCTGTGTCTGAGCATTTGGAAGTCGAGAATACACTAAAGAATTAAAACTAAAATTCCATATTGACTATAACTTAAAAGCTCTATTGGGTTCCAGAAGAACTTAAAAAAAATTGATACTACCTCAGACCATCATTAATTTTTGAGATAGTGATGACTTAGAAATACTGATGAAAGGTTTTCTGGCTAGTATAATGCTATGTAAGAGATACATATAGATCATTATCTTTCCATGAGGAAAAGCTCTCACTGACCTTCCAAAGAATGTCTCTTAATTTTCTTCCCTTCTTCCTGCTAACATTCTCAGAATGGAAACATAACATCCCTATGTCTGAGATTCTTTGGAAAATTCTTCGGGTGGGGGGAGAGAAAAAAAAAAGCTTACCTGAACTTGATGTAGTTCTTCTTGCTCTCAAAATGGGATAGCTGCCTACTTCTAAAGACTTGGTTAAGTCAAGATCATGCAAAATCAAGAGATATCCAGAGGATGTTGAGATCAACATTTTGGAACAATCTGGTGTTAATCTCATTCGCATAAGAAAACGTGTGTGGAAAAATTTCTTATGTGGACACCCATCTTCTGTACACCTATAGAAGAAATCAAACCAACAAAACCTAGTTATCATAAACATAAGGAATTGGTGAAAGTCATGTTTTTGTCCTTCAAACTAGAATTTACAGTCAATCTACAGTACACATGATTAGACTTACACATGGTAATTCTCTTGCTCACCACTCTTTCATCTCCAATTTTCCTTCTTAGATTCTTTCCATATGTGTGTATATATACACACACACACTATACACACACACACACACACACACACACACACACACACACACACACAGCATAATATGCTAATTAGATGGGACAGCTGAATGACCAGGGCTACAAGGGTCAAGGCAGCAGCCACAGCAGCTGCAAGGGCCAAGCCCCTTGCACAATTTCATGCATCGGGCCTTAATATACATATTTATATATTTAAAGACTTTGTTGAAGTAAACTCACTTTTTATTATTCTGAAAATATTTATTTTAATCTTTTTTAAAAAATATATATTTTATTGATTTTTTACAGAGAGGAAGGGAGAGGGATAGAGAGCTAGAAATATCAATGAGAAAGAAACATCAACCAGCTGCCTCCTGCAACACCTCCTACTGGGGATGTGCCTGCAACCAAGGTATTGCCCTTGACCGGAATCGAACCTGGGACCCTTGAGTCCGCAGGCTGATGCTTTACCCACTGAGCCAAACCGGTTTTGGCTTACTCTTCTTTTTGATTAAAAATTTAGCAGAGGCGGTAAGGGAGGCAGGGGGAAGGTCAATGGGGAAAAGAAAGGAGACATATGTACTACTATTTGTAATATTTTAAACAACAAAATAAAATTTAAGCCCTAACTGGTTTGAATTATTCCATAGTTTAGGACCTGCTCATTTTTGTACATGTTTTAAGTTTGCTTCAGATGATGTATTGCAGAATTATAAAATATGCCTAATGGATCAAGCTTATTAATAAGATTGAAATATTCTTTAATTCTTACTAATATTTGATCTATTAGTAAATCAAAGAATGGTGTTATTTTCCACTAAGTTGAGAATTCTGACTTTTTTCTTATAATTCAGTTTGATTTTGCTTTTTATAGTTTGAGGCTATGTTATTAGGTATATACAGGATAAGAAGTGAAATAAATCTTTTCATATAGTACCTTTTTATCAATAATAATGCCTTATGCCTTAAACTCTATTTTGTCTATTAATGTAGGTACAACTTTTTTTTCCTCTTATTTGTATTTGCCTATTATTTTTTCCCATCATTTTCTGTGCTTGTCTTGTTTCCAAGCATTCTGTTTGGTTTGGATAGGTCCCTTATAAAGAACAAATAGTTGTGTTTTGTTTTATAATACAATCTATTATTATTTTTTAATGACTAGTCCATAAACATTTATTGTGATTATATATATATATATATAAAACCTGCCTACCATATTTTTATGCTTAATTTTTCAAGTACAGTATGTAAAATATATTTGCCACATATATTTCTATCTTTCAATGTAGTTTATATGCTTTCTTACTGTATCAAAATTTTAATTATTATATTGTCATATCAATTTTTCCCCTTATAGTTTTACCTTTACTGATAAGGCATTTTAATGTGTTCCTCCCATGATAGGAATTATATGATTGCATTGAGAAACATTGAAGTGAGATGAAATATCATCAGTTGCCTCCCAAACATGACCTAACCAGAGATCAAACCTGAAACCTAGATAGTATGTGCTCTAGCCAGGAATCCAACCTGCAATCTTTTAGTGTACAGGTCAGCAATCCAAACAACTGGACCACCTGGCCAGGGCTACCTGTTTTTTAAAATGATTTTCCCCTTCAAACTAGAATTTACAGTCAATCTACAGTACACATGATTAGAATGTGTACTGTAGAACCTGCAATCTTTTAGTGTACAGGTCAGCAACCTGTACACTAAAAGATTGTGTACAGGTTGCTGACCTGTACACAATCTTTTAGTGTACAGTGTACACAATCTTTTAGTGTACAGGTCTTTTCTACCTCTATTGAATTGATATTTTATTAACTTTTATCCTTCTACTAATTTGGAAGTTATCATTTATATTCTTATTCAAATTTTATTCTAAATTAAAAAAATTTTTTAACAGGTTTGTCTGTCTTAGTTTAAAGATAATCAGTATGGCCCTAGTTGGTTTGGCTCATGGATAGAGCTTTGCGCTGTGGACTGAAGGGTCCTGGGTTGATTCTGGTCAAGGGCACATGCCCAGGTTATGGGCTCGATCCCCAATAGGGAGCATGCGGGAAGCAGCCAATTAATGATTCTCTCTGATCATTGTTGTTTCTATCTTTCTCCCTCTCCCTTCCTCTCTGAAATCAATAAAAAAATAAAAATAAAAATCTTAAAAAAAATAAAGATAATCAGTATGTAGCTCTATCCTCTACTCAAGCAACATGCATAGCTAGAAATCTTTAAGAATATCCCTTTTCTTTTTACATAAACCTTTGAAAGAATATTTCAGAAATGATCCTGGTGTACTACTATATTGTTATTTCACCATAGCTAGCAACAGATATGTTTAATTATTTCTCAAATCTCAACTTTTTAAATAATCAATTTCTCTGTAAGGAGACATTTTATTAGTGTTTCAAAACAGAGGCATCACTGACATTTTAGGTGATATAATTGGTCCATTATGCAAACTGTCCCATGTACTACAGGATGTTTAGAAGCTCTTATCTCTGGTGACTAACTGCCAGTACAAATCCTCTTTTCCATAGTGACAATTAAAATCGTACCATACATTATTTCCAAACATTCTGCTAGGGATCAGTACCACCCCAATTGAGAGACTAACTGCTCTTTAAATGATGAAAGCACAGTGCACAGATGGCCAAGTAAAAACAGATTTAGAATAGAAGGACAGCCTTAGCTGGTTTGGCCCAGTGGATAAAATGTCAGCCTGCAGGCCAAAGGGCAGGCTTGATTCCGGTCAAGGGTATGTACCTCAATTGCAGCCTCCTCCCTGATCTGGACCCTGGTCAGGGTGTGTGCAGGAGGCAACTAATCAATGTGTCTCTCTCACATCGATGTTTCTTTCTTTTTGTCGTTCCCTCTCTCTTCCAGTTGCTCTAAAAATCAATGGAAAAATATCCTCGGGTAAGGATTAAAAAAAAAAAAATGGGGGGAAAATAGAATTGAAGGACAAAAGAGTGAAAAACATTTCAGTTCAGGAGACTTATCTTATAAACAAATTTTTCATCATTAATTATGCTACTTGGACTCATTCCCATAGAATTTCTCCAATTTTTTTAGATGCAATATATGACTAAGTGCAAGCAATGAAAGATAGAATCATTTTTTGATTGTTTTTCTTTCACACAAAATCAGTTTCTTTCTCCTAAAGATATAAAAGCTGAGACAGAACACTGAATGTTTATCATCTTAAAAAAAATCCTAACATGATCTATTCACAAACCTGTTAGTGTCCCAAATAATGACATTTCCATCAAATCCTGATGTTACTAAGAGTCTTGTATTAGTGTCATATTCGATGTTCTTCACCCAGCTAGTGTGACCATGTAAAGTGCATACTTTGTTGTTTAATTTTCTCAGATCCCATAGTGCTATTGTAGTGTCATCAGAGCAGGTAGCAAACAGCCGATTATCAAGAAATCTACAAAGCAGAAAAGAAAAACTGGTTTACTTAATCTCTTATTTAAGAAATCTTGAGAAACCATATTACCTAATCAAGAATACAAACAAAAAAGGACTACAAACATACTGTATAAGCCCAATGATTCTGATATACAAGTAATAAATATAATTCATATAATCACAGAGAAAGGAACTGATTTAATGAGGGCCATATTGCAATTTTATCCATTGGCTTTACAATATTGACTTTTATTTGGAAATGAAAATAGGAATAGATGCTTGGAATTTAGTTGTAAAGAGAAAAAAGAACTTTAAAATCCGTATAGGAAACACAAATGCTGAGAAACAATTTAATAGGAGACGAGAGATTTTGAAGACAATCTCTAAAGAAGACATGTTAAACACAAAGTACTAAAAATTATGAGAAACTTTTACTCTGCTACAGGTAACATCTCTTTCTTTCAGAACACAGGTACATGCAAAAATTGCTATTAAAATGCCACAATTTTCATTTATTAATTCAAAGGCATTCTCTAAATAAGCTCACCAAGCACCATTTTATTAGGACCAGTCAAGATTACAAGATAGAGAATTAAAATACTCTTTTTAATTCAAACTTTTAATTACTTCACACTAATTTTTTAATGCTTAGAATATTTTTTAAAAATACTTAAGAAATAACAAACATGCCAATCACACTTGAATTTCTGTCTAATTCAACATCGGGATGCTTTCTCTAACATACGCTTTTTGTTGTTGTTGTTAAAAAATATATTTTATTGATTTTTCACAGAGAGGGAGAGGGATAGTCAGAAACATCAATGGGGGAGAAACATCAATCACCTGCCTCCTACACACCTCCCACTGGGGATATGCCCGCAACCAAGGTACGTGCCCTTGACTAAAATCGAACCTGGTGCCCCTCAGTTCGCAGGGGTACTCCATCCACTAAGCCAAACCAGTCAAGGCTAACATATGCTTTTTCATATAACGTCCTAAACTCTCAAAAAAGATATGAATTCTGGAGCTTCTTTCAAGATAAAATTACATATAATTATTTTCTATCAGAAATCGACCTCAATATCCACAAACACCACAATGACCTTCCTGAAACTAACATGGTTTTAAAATTTCAGGCCTTTGTTTAGACTGTTCTGCTACCCGAAACTACCTTGTCCTACCCCTTCACCTGGCTAACATTTGTTTTCTTGTTCCTATTCAGCTATCATCCCCCTCCACGAGGCCTTCCCTCCCCATCCAGCCTGGGGTGGATCTGTGGATCTCCTAAGCATTCTACCCTTCCCTTACAAAGCTCAAGATTACAATGTGCTGCCAGGCTGTCTTCTTGAAGGGAGGGAGAACCTGTCGGCATGGTTCATGGTTAGATCTGCAGGACCTAACACACTTGTGCCAGGCACATAATAAACACTCACAAATATTTATTAAATGAATGAATGAGATAGGAGTTAATTTCCTGGTGGAAAAGACACTATAAATACATGTAAATAATTATACAAGATAATTGTGTGGAATTAGCAGAGAAAACAAAGTGGTTAGGAAGACTTCATGGTGGTGTCATTTGAACTGACTTGAAAAGATGAACAGGAACTCCTTATAGAAGCATGTGAGGATGATGTACTCTGAGAGACTTTTAGGAGTGCTGTGTGTGAAGAAGTTAAAGACAAATAGAGAATATATCATGGATTTATTCTATAATGATTCCCAATAATTATTTAATTATAAATACATGCCCATTGAAAATATTTTTTAATGGAGAAAAAAAACCCAGCACCAAAAATATCTGCCATTCCTGAATTTCAAACCTAATATCTCATAAATATTTTGCTACCTTATTAAAGTTTTATTGACAAAATCAGCCAAGACCGGTTTGGTTCAGTGGATAGAGCGTCTGCCTGCGGACTGAAAGGTCCCGGGTTCGATTCCGGTCAGGGGCATGTACATGGTTGCCAGCACATCCCCAGTGGGGGTTGTGCAGGAGGCAGCTGGTTGATGATTCTCCCTCATCGACATTTCTAGCTCTCTATCTCTCTCCCTTCCTCTCTGTAAAAAATCAATAAAACATATTAAAGTTTTATTGACAAAATCATTCTTAATGGCTGAATAACATTCACCGTATGAATAAACCATAATCTTTTTTCTTTTTAAAACTAAAATGCAATTACTGGATGTTTAGATTGCTTGCAATATTTTACTATTATAAAATACTATGATGGCCCGGCCAGCGAGACTCAGTGGTTGAATGTTGACCTATGAACCAGGAGGTTATGGTTTGATTCCCAGTCAGGACACATGCCCAGGTTGTGGGCTTGATCCCCAGAGTGGGGCATGCACGAGGCAGCCAATCAACAATTCTCTCTCATCATTGATGTTTCTCTCTCTGTCTCCCTCTCTCCCTTCCTTTCTGAAATCAATAACAAAATGTATTTTTAAAAAACCACACTATGACAAATCTTCTAACAGCCAAATATTAGCCTTAGTTATTTTTCTAAATACATTTCCAGAAAAACTGTACTGCTAAGTAAAATGGGATATTTTAAAATGTAAGGCTTTTGATACATATAGTCAAATTATCCCCAAAAGAACATACCAATATGTAGTTCCACCAGCAGTGAGGAGAGTCCATTTCTCCAAACCCTTGCCACACAGATATTTTTAAATTCTGTTTAGTGCTGGAAAGAAAAAACTCTTTAAAAAGATTGATTTCAGAGAAAGGGGGAGAAAGAGAAAAAAAAAAACATCAATAATGAGAATCATTGAACAGCTGCCTCCTGCATGTCCCCAATGGGGATTAGCCCACACCTGGGCCTGTGCCCTGGCCAGGAATCAAACCCTGACCTCCTAGTTCAGAGTTATCAATGCTCAACCATTGGACCATACCGGTTGGGCAAAAATCATCTTGTTTTAGGTTAAAACTTTTTTTTTTTTTTTTAGTAAAGATAAATTTTTTCCATATTAATTAGATTTTATATCTTTTGTGAACTGCTATTCATGTTCCTTACTGATTTTCCTTTTGCAGTATTATTTTTATTAGTTGAGTGATAAAATCTCTTAATAGTAACAATTATATATCTTACAGTATGTTAAGTATAGTAAGAAAACATATAAACCACATTGTGGTTTTAATGTGGTTTATATGTTTCCTTACTAAATCAAAATTTTAATTACTATATTATCAATTAAAAATTTCCCCTTATAGTTTTATCTTTACCGATGAGACATTTTAATGTGTTTCACACATGACAGGAATTATATAATTACAAAAAAACGTAATGACAAAAGGCTACTGAAAGTCAAACTTTTAAAATAAGTTGATCATCATCATAAGAGTATCTTTATACATTTGAAAATTTAGAGAAAATATATAAAATAGGTATTTTGTTTAACCTAGAGAAAATAATGCACAAATGGACTGAAAACCTCAGTGAGATTATATTGCTGTGGGCCACAGTAGTCTACCCTGAAGTATTTAAGGCAAGAAAGTGACATAATTAGCCGAAACCAGTTTGGCTCAGTGGATAGTGTTGACCTGCGGACTGAAAGGTCCCAGGTTCGATTCCGGTCAAGGGCACGTACCTTGGTTGCGGGTACATCCCCAGTAGGGGGTGTGCAAGAGGCAGCTGATCGATGATTCTCTCTCATCTATGTTTCTAACTCTCTATCCCTCTCTCTTCCTCTCTGTGAAAAAATAAAATATTAAAAAAAAAAAAAGGAAAGAAAGTGACATAATTAAATAAGAATTTCAGAAAGATCTCTGAAGTGGCTAGTTTCCAAAACTCTTGGATTTTTATAAAAAATAAAGTGATCAGGTTTTAATTTTTTGTCAATAAGGTTATTGAAAAAATTATTATTGTTACATGAAAGTATATTTTAAAACCAAGAATGAATATAATCTTGAAACAAAGCTAATAATTTTGAATTGAATAAATCTATCTTTATGAAAACTTTAATACTTCGACTTTAGTTTTCTCATTTTTTTTAACCTCAAAGTATTACCTGTTAAAAATGTTGGTATTAGAGCCCTATCAGGGGGCTCTGTGGTTAGATCATTAGCCTGCCAACTGAAGGGTCCTGATTTCAATTCCAGTTATGGGCACAACGCACCTCAGTTGCAGGCTCCATCTGTGATCCCAGTCTAGGAATGTGCAGGAGGCAACCAATCAATGTCGGCTTTACATCAATATTTCTCTGTCTCTCCCCATCCCTTTCACTCTAAAAATCAATGAATATCCTCTCAAAAAATATCCTCGGTGAGGATTAACAACAAAAAGTTTTGGTATTAGCCCCGACCGGTTTGGCTCAGTGGATAGAGCGTCGGTCTGTGGACTGATGGGTCTCAGGTTCAATTCCGGTCAAGGGCATGTACCTTGGTTGCAAATACATCTCCAGTAGGGAATGTGCTGGAGGCAGCTGATCTATGTTTCTCTCTCATCGATGTTTCTAACTCTCAATCCTTCTCCCTTACTCTCTGTAAAAAAATCAATGAAATATATTTTTTAAAATGTTGGTATTAGATCCCTGGCCGGGTAGCTCAGTTGGTGCCATTCCCAAAAAGGTTGCGGGTTTAATCCCTGATCAGGAATCAACCAAGGATTGCATAAATAAGTGGACAATAAATCAATGTTTCTCTTTTTCTCCTCCTGCCACCTTCCATTCTCTCTAAAATCTTTTTTTTTAATTTTTTATTTTGATATTAGGGAAACATAGGTAAAGGAAGTAGATAAATTATAGAAAAATAAAAATGTAGGCTAGGAGACTGGTAAAATTATCTACAGTTCTTACCCTAAAGTAAGCAAATGCAGTGAATGTAAAGTTTTAGATAAGTTCTTGGAGTTGTGGTCCAATCCACTCAAATGAAAACTCAGTCTAGCCTAATTAGTTAATAGTTGTAATATGTTTTTAACTCCAACTCCCTAATAAGCAGGAGCCACTTCAAACACACACTGAAATCTATGAGTTTCTGAATTATAGAAATTCTCTGTATGTCCCCATCAACCCCCC